TATTTTTATGAACATGATCAATGCATTTGCACAACGAAATAACGCTGAAATACAGAATAAGAGGCCAGACAAAGAGAAATCTCGATGCGCATTTGCTTAATTACGCAGAGAAATACTGCGGCTTACTAGGCTTTAAATAGAATCACTCAAATCAAATAAATCGGTAAAGATATCTGAAATTATTTCTATAGGATTGTTTAAACGAAATTAACATACGTGCGCACTGGTCCGGCTGGCCGCGCTCCTGTTTAGCAGTTAAATAGCAATTAAATTACAGCGCATTCTCTGTTTTATCCAAATTGTTTGTTTTAAAACAAGTATTCCTTAGTTTAGTATCCGCACATTGTTTTAGTATACATTTTTTAAAACATATATTGTGGCAGTCTTAAGGAACACACACGATTGACTGTAAACACATCTTTATTCCACGACTGCCGACAAGTGGATCTATTCTGAACAAGGACAAAATAGTATCCGCCATAATATTTGTTAAAAGAAAAATAAATAAAAGTCCGCGAGAGAGAAGCCCGACCACAACCTGTTTTACTTCCGCATTCCTGTCGTTTTGGTCCGCAGCAGAAACTGCACGTGTGACCGCAAGTGGAGCTACGCCGACACTGCGCCGGTGCTGTCACGCTCAGCGGCTTTGCACGTGTGACCGCTCTGCAAAATTTGCTACGGTGTAAAATATATCGCAACAAAATATTTCGGTGCAGCGTCGGACCAAATGTGTGCCGTGTGAACAGGGCTAATGACAGTCAAATGGCACCGACATTCCTCCCGATCAAAAACAGTGCTGGTATACCCATGCTGCAGAGAAGGCGCAACCACCAGGCACCAAGTCTCCTCCTTGATGAATGTCGTGGCCAAAAAAAAATGCTAAAAAACAATCCACAGCCGGTCCACACAACAAACACAAAGTGACAAAACAAACACAAAAACAACAACAAAAGAAGCAAGGCTCATGAGAGCACTTGCCGACGGCTGTCTACTTGGGCGCCATCTTGGACTTCTCTCGAAAGTGGCATCAAGGAACAGCATTCTCAGGAAGCTTACCAACACAAAGTGGGGTGCTGATGCCAAGATAGTACGTACAACAGTGTTGGCTTTATGCTTCTTTGCAGCAGAGCACACATCACCGGTCTGGTGTAGATCAGCCCATGCCACGGGGGGTTGATACAGTGCTAAACTCTGCTTGCCGTGCTGTCACTGGCTGCTTGAAGCCTACAAAGGTTGATGACCAATACCTACTCAGTGGGATTGCTCCACCAAGCATCCGGAGGATAGTCACAGTTGCATCCCAGAAAGAAAAGCTGAGACAAGAAACTGACACCCGCCTCCAACTCTACAATCATGAGCCAACAGCAAAAAGGTTAAAATCAAGGCATAGCTTCCTGCACTCTGTAGATGCTCTGGACAGAAATCCGGACAAGCAGCGTGTCACTCTGTGGACAGAACATCTTACCCAAGCCCCACACACAGTGTCTTTTACCAGGCCAAGCGAATCTCTTCCATCTGGTGCCAGTGAAGCATGGCCACACTGGTCTTGCCGTAACCGCTTGAGAACTGCTGTCGGCCGATGCAAAACAAATTTGACAAAGTGGGGGTTTAATGAGAATGGCGACATCTCTTGCCTGTGTGGAGAGGATCAGACCATGCAACATCTCCTCCCGACATCTTGCACCCAAGAGGACCAAGCTGATCTCACCCCGAATGCCAGACAAGGCATCCAATAATGGACTGGAATCATTTGATGATA